TAGAATTGTTCAACAATAAAAAAACAATTACATGAATAAATTGATGTGAAATCTCGGAATCCAACGAATTCCTTCCTTGCTTTATCTTGGTTTTTAGTTCCTCATGAGTTTTTTGTGCATAATGAGATGAAAGAATGATGAATAATGAGGAACGATGCGTTCTGGGACGTTTTGGGGTCTTTTAGGGTTGAGAAATCATGCCACGATACTTTCTTTATAATTATGCGATCGCATAGTTACAGGTGTTGCGGTCGCATGGAATGCTGGAATTGGCTACTGAAAATCTTTGAAAGGTACTATGCGACCGCATAGAAATAATCCTATGCGACTCATAGCTTTAGAAGTTTTCCACCGGACAGTCTTCAGTGTTTTCGTCATTACTTTCTCTCTCGATGTCCGATCGAGACAAGATTCAATATGCATTGAAAAACTAACTCAAAGGGGTACAACTTTTCTACATATACCATCTTCGAATTCGATGGTTTTCCATGTCAAAAACTAGTCTCAATATGAGGTTGAAAATCGGTGCAAAACTTTTCAACTTAAAAGTTGATATGTGATAATGTTTTAGCTATATTTCATCCATTTGACTTCTTTCTTCATCCAATTGACCTCTAACACTCTCGAATCTTCTCATTATTTCCTCTACATTCATCACTCTGTCATGCAAAACGTAAAATTACATAGAATTAAGCTATATTTCAACATATTAATAAACAATTTTTCATGTTTTGACAGTACGATAAGTGTGTAAAAACGCACTTATCATGAACAAAAAGAAAAAAAATAAAACGTTAGTTTACATGCTTGTGACTTTAGGATTAAATCTTCCGGTTGCTACTGCTATAGTTGAAATAATATTTTCTGCTAAAAATATTGTGAAGAATCAACTGCGCAATCAGATTAGAGACCAATGGATGAATGATAGTTTAGTTGGGTACGTTGAAAAAGGTGTATTTAATGAAATTATTAACGAGACTATTATACGACGTTTTCAAAGTATGAGAAGCCGTAAGGAACAATTGTAAAAAAAGTATTATATTTTGAATATTATCTTTATTATCTAATTTGAAATTATTTTTTTACGTAATTTTGTGCCTATGATTGATAAACTTGTAGATAAGGACATGAGTAGTTGATATGGAAGATGGCCCGACTTCGAAATCAAAGCATTTGAACTCAGAATAGAGATTGAGGATCTAGATCTTAATTCTTTGTCAGATGGATAATGTCCAAAAAGTTTGCTCTTATTTCAACCGTTTCTTCGATGATTTTAAGTTTATGGATTCTTTGTAATGATTTTTTTTTTTTTTGTAGTCCAAAAGCTTTTGGTAAGGAGTAAATATTTAATTTTGCAAGGTCAATGCATAAATAGCTGTAAAAATAGAAAAATAATGTAGAATTAATAAAAAAAGGTAAAATGACATACGACAATGATCAAAAAATGCTGTAAAAGACGAGGATATAAGGTAATAGCAACATTTAAAAAAGATTATTAGCAACATTCAAAAAACGTTGCAAAAAAAGTTATTTGAAAATGTTATTAGCAACATTTGAAAAACGTTGCAAAAATATTATTAGCAACATTCAATGAACGTTGGAAAAAAACAAAAAAAACAACATTCTCTAAAGGCCTATCGCAACTTTTTCTGAACGTTGCCGTATCATTCTACTTTGCGACAACATCAAAGCCCGCAACATATGCATGAACGTTGCGAACAACCGCATAAATGTTGCGAAAAGGTCTTTCGCAACGTTTTTGAAGAAGTCAAAACAATGAAAACATGAAGGTCGATAGTGGGATAAAAAATGTTTAGCTTGGTTTGTTTGGGAAGCCAGGGTAAATTAACACTAGTTATCGATATCACCTTGGATGGTTAAACAAATAAATTCAGCTTCTGCTAACTTTATTAACTAGTTAGTGTACGCGAGTTAGAGTTCAAACTTACACACACTTATTTTGGAGGTTAATACAATGCACTTAAGGACTTCCTTTTTTCGATAAAAATAGGTTTATTAGTGGTTCAAATTCACTTCGCAAGTGATGGGATTGTTGGGAGTGGTTTTTTTATTTAAATGAGTGTATGTCTGAAAAATGATTAGACTGTTTGTTGAAGTCGACACCGTAAAAAAGTACTCACTACTCACACATATGTATATGTAAAAAAAGTTTGGCCTAGGTGGACCATTTCATTTGGATTGCAGGCCTAGTAACCTTGCGTTAATATGATCTAAAATTTTAAAATTTTTTTAGTGGCCTGTGATAAAGGGATTGTTTAGAGGGAAAATTACACAATTACCGGT